TGGGGTTAGTTATTTAAGTGATTATGGAGCCAGGCTCACTGCTATTGTAACCAGTGACTGTGACTTGGTCTGTATTACGAAGTGAGTTTGCTAAGCAGAAGCAGCCTAGATGCACAGTATGTATTTGGACCATTAAAAGCATTCACACACAATGTTGCTCCCCTTTTCCTACATGTGTTGAAGGAAGTTTGAGAAGGTATCCATTTGCAATTCAAATGGATTTCTTTATTATGATCTTACTTATTTATTCCCACCTGAAAATTAAAAGCTGTGAAAGGACACACATATTGGTGACTTTATGCATTTTTTGCCATTGCCACTTGCATGTTTTATATGAGTTCAGTTTATAGAAGATAAGGGTGCTTTCCCAATTTTTAGGTTCTAGTTAAAGCGATTTTCTCTGATTTGATCAAAGGGAACCTATGCAATGTTAGGAATTATGCTATAATCCATTGATTTTTATGTAATTCATATTAAATTGGAAAGCCTGGCAATTTTTTTAAAGAAAAATATTCTGTAGAAGTTAATGATAGGCATTTCAGTGCCACACATAATGTACTTAGCAAATGCTTCCTCTATTTCATCATTTTGATAGGCAGATTCCATTCTTCCATTTGCACAAGGAAAGTTAGTCCAAAAGTCAATCTTCTGAATTGCTTTTAAATTCATTGTAATGTAAATTTGCAAAGAAAACTGACTTTCTGTGCTGCTGCCAGTCTAGACAGTATGTATAGAAATTGTCTGATTTCAGTTGAAGCGTGCATTTTAACTAGAAATAAAGTGGATTTGAGTTGTATTGAATTCTATCCAGTTGAATGGTGTGCATTCATCAATTGTCCTTAAAATTGTTTATTCATTACTTGGAACCATAGCTAGCCTTGAATGAGAACTTCCAGTGATCTGTACATCATGTCCGTCGTCAGTCTAAATATTGCTTAATTACTCATATAACAATATCAAATTGCTTTGTAACTAAATATAAATGAAGAGTAGAACTCTTTCTGAGGAGCAGTGCAAGAGAAATATGCTCATTTTATACCTTATGATGATATTAGGTTCCAAAGGAAGGACAGTTCAGTTCCAAAGGAATGACAGTTCTGGAGCTATCACAAAGAAAGAACTGTTAAATATAGCACTGAACCTAGGATAATCCTATCTGTAACACTTTGGTCACCATGCAGGACCAGGACCAGGGTCTAGGGTTTCCTCTCCTTCTTTTTATATTCCACACTTGCCAGCAAATAGGATCCACTTTGGAGATCTGGATTGAAATCCACACACACACATATACCTTTGTTTTGCCTCAACAAGTATTCAGTCAAGTTAATAAACCATGGCAGCAACAGAAAAGACTGGTAACAGATAAAAGCACAAAATTATTTTCAAGTTCAAAAGGAGCCACCTCTTCCCATGGTTTAGATGTGACAATGAAAGTTTCTGTCCATCAGCTTTATACTTAATACAATGATGCAGTTAGTGAGGTGGGTCCTTTGCAGGTTGCATGCAAAAATCACTTGAAAAAAATAAAATAAAAATTGCAGCTACACTAGTTGTGCAACTGACCAATGAAGTTACTTCAGAATGCTTGCACAAAGACTGTGTTCAGATTGTGGTAAAAAACTACACAATGAGTCCAAACCTCACTGGGGAGGGCATTCCACAACCAGACCACCACAACCCAAGATGATCTTTTGTCTTCAGAAATCTAAGGTGCAATACAAAACTCACCCTCTCAAGTGTGTGTGTGTGTGTGTGTGTGTGTGTGTGTGTGTAGGAATGGATTGAACACCAGAAGACTGATGAAAGTGGCAAAGGATCCAAAGATCAAGCTCCAACCAAGTCTCACCAAGTGTCTCCACCAAATCAGAGTTTCCTCAGGTAGCACCAAGGCTTCCCATAGGCAGTGTACTGCAGGCAGTTCTGAATCTATTCTCTAGTCCTCAAACACTAGTGCATCTTTTATCCCTGTGCTTGATATTTAGAAATATCCTCTATTTCCCCTTTTCTAATGGAAGCAAAGATTCCTGTCATGAAACATGCTGAATTTCAACCAATGTGATGCAATATTGTGTTGTATGTACTACAGAAATAGGAAGTCATTAGTGTGGTAGCAATAAGCTATTTAACAGTTAACATTAACCACAAATGCTTGCTATAGCAAATCAAGAATGTCTGCAACTTATAACAGAGGGTCAAAAATCTATGTTCAGACAATTGAGAGATATATATTCATAGGCAGAGGGGAGAATCTCAAAAGTTAATGCACACAATTGGTACAACAAACAATAGTAGAATACTAATTTTCTGATTTGAAAGGATGCACTTTCTATGTAATGCATTTTAAATTAGACAGCTGAAATATGCCACATTGCCTCTGGGAATAATGTATGGCTCTGATTGAGACCTTCCTTGCTACTTAAGTTTATTCTTCTTGAGCAATGTAGGCACAATGATTAGGCTCCTTTTAATCAACCTTTATTAATTTAAGCTAATTAAAGTGGAAATGGACACTGGATCATCTGGATATAAAAACCTTTCTCAGTCCAGGAGTGACACATGGAATTAGGTGGAAGTAGTACTGAAACTTCAATATAGCACACGTTACTGAGATTTAATTAAAGGATTTTATTAACTAGAGCCAGATTCTATTCTCATTGTTTTGTAGTAGAACACCGTCTGCTTCAGATCAGAACCATTCCAATTACTAGTTCTTTGACTGTTTCTTCTAGTTCTTTTAAAATAGGACATGTTCAGAAGGACATCTCATTAGTCTGGGAACTCTCCTTTTGCATATATTTAAATAGATGATGAATGTGAAAACATGCAAGCTGTTCACAGGAATGGCCAGATGTTCGGGATTAGATGGAAGTTTAGGATCTGCAGAATGATGTAGAGCAGTGGTTCCCAATTGGTGGTCCATGAACCCTAGGGGTCCGTATAACCCTCCCAGAGAGTCCATGGCACCAGTCACATAAGAAAAACTATCATAGAGATATCATCATTTTCAGAAGTAGGAGGTCCATGGCTTGGCTTTGGAAGAGCAGGGGGTCTGCACTACTTAGCTATTCAGGAACCACTGGTATAGAGAATCCGCAGAATGATTTAGAGAATCAAGGTCTGCTAAAGTTAAACACTTTCTCTTTTTGATATTTAAGCATGTCAATCCATTGGGACATAGGAGAGGGAGAAAGATGAAGCTGCAGAACCTCTTAATGTGCAGCACTGATTACCAGATCCCTCAGGCTCCTCCTTCATCTGTGATCTACAGAAGTCATTCCATCTGGCTACAGAAGATGGAAAGCGAACAAGATGGTATTGCAGGATGTTTCTATTAGCTCTGTTAAAGACCAACAACTTTGGGCAGTTCCTCTCCTTTTAAAGTAGTGCTGATGGATTGCTGAAGTAACAGATACATTGCCCATAAAATGCTGTGATTACATCTGGTTAGCTAGGATAATTCAGGGGTGGTGGTGGTGGGAGCCCAGTGGAAAAGATAATAGTACGAAAGCAGAAGCAGAGGGGGAATTAGAGCAGCAAATTGTGACAAGGTTAAGAAAAGCTATACATGGGGAGGAATGTTCAGGAACCATTTGTCCTTAAAATGATGGAGCCCTACTTACTGCAGCTTTTAGAAAACTTTTAAGATGAAATTGTCTCCAGCAGTTTATATTGACTCTTGTGGCAGTCTCCTGGGTAGCAGGCCACCAGTTTAGATTCTTAATGTGGATTAATGGCCCCTAGTTTGAAGCATCTGGTTTAGACTGTAATTGCAATTTCAGTAATAACTGAAGTCAAAATCATTACTGATTAAGGCACAGAAACACCTTTTTAGTGCTAGCGAGCCATCTCAGATACATAGAAATTATTCAGGCTTTAATAGAACATACAAAAGAAGCCATCCAGCGTTTGACTAAAGAAATACTTTGACTGCATCTCAGAAAGTCACTACTCTGTATACAGCAAGAGATCACAGATGTTTGTTGCAAACTTGGCTTGCTGATTTATTTGGAAGCATATCCAGGGTTCATAATCTTCAAAGGCATGATCATAACGAAGGGCAGAACTAATCCTCACATGAAAATAATAACCTGATGGTATATTTTGTTAGAAAGAAGTCACTCCATACATCTGCACCCTGCTGCTTCAGTGATCCAAATTTTCTCCTCCTGAACAATGTGTTTTTTCTCTAGCAATATAATCTGTCTGTCTGGGTTTTGTTGCATACTTTTGCATGTAGTGTTTAAGCTCCTCTTAATTATTGTGGCGCTGTGAGTAAAACCTCAGTGCCTAGGACTTGCCGATCGTATGGTCGGCGGTTTGAATCCCTGCGGCGTGGTGAGCTCCCGTCTTTCGGTCCCAGCTCCTGTCAACTTAGCAGTTCGAAAGCACCCTAAATGCAAGTAGATAAATAGGTACCGCTTTATAGCGGGAAGGTAAATGGCGTTTCCGTGTGCTGCGCTGGTGCAGGCTCGCCAGAGCAGCTTCGTCACGCTGGCCACGTGACCCGGAAGTGTCCTCGGACAGCACTGGCCCCCAGTCTCTTAAGCGAGATGGGCGCGCAACCCCAGAGTCGGTCACGACTGGCCCGTATGGGCAGGGGTACCCTTACCTTTAATTATTGTTACAGATGTTACATGTTTATTTAGCATTGGAATGCCAGCAGCGTAACATATGAGGAAGACAAACACACGTTTTGAAAGATGTGTGGGGTGAACAGATATTAAAGATGTTGCACTCTGAAACATCTAGAGAACACCATGTTGCCTATCTCTGCTCTATTGCTTTATTCTGTACAATTTCTGAACATTTGAAGGTTGAAAGATTGTGGGAACTGTCTTTCTCTTGTTAACCTTTTTATCTGTGTATCTGAAATCCAAAATAAATAATGCTTGTTGGAGTGGTGGCTAATGCAATGTCTGGTCTGCCTCAGAAAAAAAGAAGCACAGTCTTCTATGCATTGTTCCTTCAGCCTCCATTTCCCCAACTTTTTCTGGAGCCTCAAAGGCAGGCATAGGCAAACTTGGCCCTCCAGATGTTTTGGGACTACAACTCCCATCTTCCCTAGTCTCAAAACATCTGGAGGGCCGAGTTTGCCTATGCCTGCTCAAAGGCATTAACAGATTCATTTGTATTACTGGACTTGTACTGGATGATTGACTAGACCGTATCTCTTTAGAGAACAGTATACATCCCATTTAATATTAAGGACAGAACCAGGGTGGTGGAGAGTGATTTTTCTATAGGATTGTACTCAGTTGTGTTTGCAAGATTATATAATGTGGATACTTCGGTGGAAAGCAGAGTATTTGACAAATCTTTTGTGTTCTTCCTTGATATATTATCTGAAATATACTACATATTGGCAGCATCACATTCCTCTGTTTCTCACAGCTGTTAAGCTGTATTTCCCTGCCATGCATGAAAGAGCTTGCAATATTTTATAGATAGATAGTTCATTATTTTCTTAAATTTATCACCTTTCCTGCACCATGGAACCCAAAGTGGTGCCCATGTTGTTCCCAGGTGGTATCCCATCCAACGTCTGACCCATGTCTAGAGCAGCAAGGTGTTCGTGTATGTAATCCTTGAAGGCACATGATGCCACCACCCATCTACCTTCAAAAATCACACACACTTAACTTGAAGCCAGGGGCACTTTCTGCAAGGTTAGTTTAATGCGCAAAACATCTGAAAGAAGCTGACACAATAGAAGACAAAGATCAAATGCCAAGTACAATTACACCCTATCACATACTTAACAGAGTCTAGAGTTGCCACTCGCTTGGATTTAAAGAGATTTGACCTTTTCCTTTTCCTTCTCATCCTCTTAAAAATAATCAAAAAAGAACATCAAGCTTTTTAAAACCTAGCTCATTGTGGTATGTTAATACAGGCAATCCACTCAAAAATGCCTGTGTGGAAATTTTCTTTGGCCTGTATTGATCTTATAGTCTGAAAACAACACCACAGTTTACTATTGAGTATACTAGAGAGAAAGGGGGCGGGGGGGTGAGATTATTATACTGTAATAGTATTACTAATCAATTCTGCATTGAACCTACCCTTGGAGGGCTCTTTCATGCATGTGCATTAATGAATGAAAGGGAAGAAAGAGAACTATATATTTTGAGCGACTAACAGTAAATGCAGCTATTTCTTAGCTCCCCCCCCCCACATACAAGCACCTCCTAAAACAATCAAACCAACATAAACACAAGAGATTCTCTATCTTCAGAATAATCTTTAATTTCTATTGATTGTGAAGTGCACAAACTGTAGAAAGGTCTAGGTAGGCAACTAAATCATAACAGCTAGATATTAAATACATAATGCACAGAAAAGATGAAATATGCTTTTAGCCTGTGTAGAAAACAATTTAATAGCCAGGCAACAGTGTAAAGATCATTTGATCTGTAGAAAACAATACTTTCTTTTCTGGTAAATATTGTTTTTGCTCCCATAATACAATTGCAACTGATCATGTACATTGACTTGAAAGTAAGGAACTTCAACTGAAGTTACAATCCTATAATCATGGAGGGACAAGTTATGGAACGGGAGATACATGAGTAGCATAGCAGTCTAAGAGTAGGGAGATGAGAGAATCCATTGAGCAGCTGTAGCCACTTCCTATATCCTGCTAGATATTTGGTAGGGCAGCATTTTCTTTATTTTCCCTGCTTTTCTCCATTTAAAGAAAATGCATTCCCATCAACACTGGGGAAGGGGAGAATTTAATCACACCAGCTGCAAATGGTGTTGGTCCCTTTTGGTGGACTACAACTCTCAGCGCATCCTGCATCTTAAACACAGAGCTTGGAAAATAAAGTTTGTAGGAATTTCTGTGTTAAGTAGGGAAAGTTAATCTGCTTTGTGTTATTGTCCTATCTGGTCACTTCTGCCAGTAAATGTGTTTAGGATTGCAGCATTCAGGGGCATCAGCCTGTGCTCTGTTCTGCCGAGTGTGAAAGATGGGGAGAGTGTGAGAGATCTAAAATCACCACACTAGGTTCCTCTCTCCCTGAGAGCTTAAGCAAATAGCCAAGATTAAGTGTCCCCTACCCAGGCCCCCAAAGTACATTAGAAAAAAAATATGCTCTCTCTTCAGCTGGGCCTTGGGACATCCCCTTTAGCTAGGATTTCTGCTTCTGACTTGGCAACCTTATCAATGCATCCACACAAACCAAATTGCCACTACACTGCACCACCCCAGCTCCATCCAGGTGAGCTGTCAAAATGCTGGTGTCAGCAGGTGTCATGAACCCCTGGCCTACCTGAAAGAAAGCCAGTATGCCAAGTCCAAAATCCAAAGTTCAAAGGTCAGGAAAATGTGGTCCAGCTGTCAGGATACAGTCCAAAGTCAAACCCGAAGCACAGTCCCGTAGAGGTCCATCAACATCCAAGCCAAGGTCCATCAACATGGACAGTTAAGCAGACACAGCTCCTAAGCTCTGCTTTCTTTTTGTACTTTGCATGCTGATTGCAGCATCTGGGATTGTTGAGGCATGTGACCCTCACCTGTCCCAAGCCACCTCCAGCTGAGGAATCACACCCCTCCTCTCAGAACTAGTGAGCACCACCTGGCCAGCTCATGTGCTGGGCTGTGGGCCTTGCCTGCCTCAGCCTCCTGGAGTGCTCTGCCTGCTGCTTCCTCTGGCTCAGAACCCACCATGTTCATGGAAACTGGCTCTGGTAACAGGTCCTGCTGCTCTGGTTCCTGTGCATTGACCACCATCCTCTGCCACCCTGTGAGTACTTACTTCCCATTCCTTGCTTGCCAGCTACACCCCTCACTGGGATCCTCTTCCTCCTCCCCATCTTCCTGCCAGTTCATGACATTGGGTAGCTTTGCAGCTCTGCCCCACCACATCAGCCACTACTGCATTTCCCCTGCCCCTTTACATGGCTAGCATATGAAACGTTGCATAAAACAAAGAGCATCATGTTCAGGAACTGGAAGAAACAGGGTTCCCCTCTTGGTGACCTCTTGGGTGGCCCAAAAGGACTGGTAACAAGCTGAGGCTAGCTGTGACTACCTCATCTGGTGAATTGTCTCTACATTTGGACTTCTGGTTTGCTTCTGGACCCCGTTCAAAGTGATGGCTTTGACTTTAGAGCCCGTTAAGGCTTAAGACCAAATTTCCTGCAAGATCACCTCTTTCCACCTATGCAAGGTCTTGTAGGACCTCTTCCCAGTCAAGTGAGGCACTGCCTCAAGCAAAGGTGATTACATAGTATAAATTAGTAATCACAATAAATGGTCTTAAAATACATAGTATTGAAGAAATTTCCTGTTGAATCTTTTAAACAACAGGCCATAAAGACTTGCTTTGAATATATTCTAAGATTAAAATCCCCCCTACTGAAACAGTGAAGGGCTGTGAAGAAAAAGAGCCATTTCACTCTTAACACCTGATCTGCAGAGTTCCATGCCCATAGCCATTTTTCCCCACCATTCAGCCAATTTCACAACTTCCCGCCATGTAGGTTTGCATTCTTTCCTGCATTAATCTCTCAATTATACAGCCTGTCCTAATCGATTAAAGCTGATTGTTTTCTGATTGTTCTTGTGAATAATAGTATGTCTTGCTTGAAGGACAGAACTTGTCTAGATGACAAATCTGTCTCTTCCTATCTTCTAAATGTGTGCAGGGACACTTTTTTTTTTTTTTGGTATAGTATGTGAGTCTGCAAGAGGAGGCTGTTTCTTTGTTGCTTATTTTCCATGCATTGTTACAATGGATGGAACCAGTATCCACCCAAAATGTCAAGGTGGATCCTACCAAAAAAAAAATCTAATGTTAAAATTAGATTATAAATCATATTCATATAACTCTATTGGGGCATTCTTTCCTTGTGTTGAAAAACATGAGAAGTGGGGCTATGGGGCTATGCAAAGTAGTCCCACTCTGATATTGTGCATATTCTTCCTGGTATCAGCAGATATAACATGAGCATTCTTTTTTTTGGGGGGGGGTGACTTTTCTGGGTATAGTTTTATGCATGAAGAGTTCTCCAGAATCTAGAACCCTGACCCTGACCATTTAAGATGACAGGACCACAAACTCTAGAAGTGTTTAAAGTCTAATGGAAAGTTATAATAATCTTAGATCTCATATCAGGATGGCAAAGTTCTTTGATAATGAGCTAAAGCTTATTAGTTTTGGGTGTGGGGTGTTTTTGTGGGGTTTTTTATTTTTTGTTTTGCATGTGTGTGTCTTGCGCAAGCAATTTAACCAGATGTGTAAGCTCTATAGGATTGAGATATGTATATCTTTATCAACTCAAACCTAATGAAGAGCTGTTGGCATAATTATAAATGGGACTTTTTACCTGCTATGCAATGTTTTGACAGTAGTGTGAACTCGTCATATGACAGGCTGGAGCTGCCTTAGGCCACACGTCACTCACACTGAACATCTGAGTTTACGTATTTACATTTTTGACAGTTTCTTTCTTTTTTTTCATTTTTAAGGGCACCCACATACTTGATCATGCTGGGCAGTTTACCTTACGTCAAGTAATGCATCACCATTCATACTTTTGTCAGAAATTACTGTATATATGTAATCTTCACATCTAACTGTTATATTTCACATAATAGTGGATCATGTGAAACATGTCAGACATGTCTGCGGCAGTCATGATGCTAAATCTTCCCACATTGTCCTCAGGGAGGAATATTTAGCGCTTGACACAGCACAGACAACAGTCTATAGCAAGGAGCAGTAAGCTGAAATGCAAAATGATAATGTCAAAATTCCACAGTTTCAATAGCCTGTGGCAACAGCTTGGGCAATATTGATAATGAGGACTCCATGTAGCAGTACAAAGGGTCAAATACATTAACTCTGTTGACTGACTTATCAAGAATCATGTTTTTGTTACCTGCATAGTATCTCTCAGTGATTTCTGGGAGCTCTGAAAGAGATGAGTTTTATAATCATAAGATCTCTCGCCAAGAGATGCAAGGCAGAATATCGTTCTATCTGTAAATCACAGTGTTGAAACCCATCACATTTATGTGAGCTTGCTTTTGTGACATGTATCTTAAAAAGTGTCTAGAGTATAGTGTCATACTGATTGCACTTTGGAAATGTGAAGAGGGAA